GAAACATTTCTTATACAACGATGTTATCAGGTAGGTATATAGAGGAATATTTTGTCACAATTACTTGTTGATTTGAAAAAGATATTTTTTAAACCTAATGGAAAAAGTATCATAATTTAATATCCGAAAGGCGTATCATATATGCTCACCAGCACTTCCTGTACGTCGACTGTGATATGCAAATGTAGATACACTACAATGATCCTAGTTATAATCATCTAACTAAATGCCCCCAACACATCAACTGTCATGTTCACACATTATAAACAATGTACGCATCATCTGGTCAACCGATTACCATCAAATGTTGACAAGTCCTTCAGGATATTGTAATAGCGGTAACGGAATGCAAGGATACCAGCGGTCAACGCATTTAGTTGTTGAATTATTTGACAGATGATGCTTCCTGCGCGCAAGCGCACTCATCATTTTTTTCATAGAGAGGCTAATGACAGTTTTGATACATATGTTTATTATTTTGAAAACTTAATAGTATTTGTAAAGTAACAATGTAAATAAAACTGTTTTACGACATTGATCCTGAGATTTTCCGTCTTCGTAAGTCGAGGTTTCATAAAAAGAAATTTTCAAATCATTCTGTCTGATCTCTTCAGGATGTCAGTGATTGATGACGTCACCTTTGTCACGGTGGTAATTTGTATACTTAGACATGGAATTTTGGATCTCTCTTCGTTTAATGAAAACATCGTACTGCCTCTTATCTAAATACATTATCGCTGGTTCTGTTTGTGTTTCCAAAAGTGGAGACGGGCAATTATAATCTCTACCGCATTATAAATACCAAAATGTTCTTTGTATATATTTGAATATGGTTCAATATCAATTTTGGATGTATATATCAGTAAGATTATGAAAATGAAAAGCTGAACCTTTATTAAAGTCGGATTTTTACACCACTAACGAACCTCGGACTACGAAACAAAGTTTCTAAACTTTGTTAAAGTTAAATACTGTCATTTTTGTACTATCAGGTCGGAGCTAGTCTTATTGTGAAATATAATTACTGATATGTATATTTTTAATTATGAGGATGGTAATTATCATTAGGATACATAATGGACGTAGGTATAAGCCTCTATGTCTATACCAATATTTAACTTTACATAAAATAATATTGTTCATCAATAATTTTGTGCTGATTTCGTGAACTCAATTAATCTTAACTTTTTTAAAAGTTGTTTCCAATGTTCATTTAGTAAAGAAAAATGTTTGACTGTAGTAGCATTTATGACATGTTTTCCAAGATTGTCCATGTGATGTTAAATTCATCCACATTATGTTATTTAAAAATGAAGTTTTCTCAATATAATAGCGCATTAACACAAATTGTTTTATATTAATTTTGATTTAAGCTATCTTTTTGTCTAAAGGAATTGTATATGAAATGTATTGTATAACATATTAAGATGTATCAAACTTATATATATATATATATATATATATATATATGAATGGCTAAATAAGTTGTGTCAATAATTATTTCATTATGCGTCATTTGAAAAAAGTCCCAATTTTCTTACTGTTTCAATTTCATAAAAAATTAAATTTATCTCATGATTTAGCATATGCAGTCTTAAGATATCGATTTATAGATTTACTAGTAAGATTTTAAGTTGTGTTCTACATTAAAACCACTGAAATTTGGTTTTTACATAGATTTGGAATCAGTAATACAAATATGTCCTTTCTGCAGTATTTTGAAATTTAGGTCTGTTATGTATTGTATACATATCTGCACATTTTTTAAAGAAGCAAACTCAGTCTGATACATTCAGTGGAAAATATACCTATGAAGTGTTGGATCAGGTTCTGATATTGTTTTATTGTGTTCTTAAAGTTCTGTAAAGGATTCAAATATTTTAGAAAATTCATTGACTCAATATTGAATTTTTACTTAAAGTTTTTCATTATCATTTTTCAAATATCACACATATGTATTATTTCCTTTAAGTACCTATCAACCATGAAGATGGATATGTTTGCAATAGCAATGGATGAATTATACGGTACTAGAAATTTTAAAAGATTATTTTATGACTTTAAATTTGCTGATTCTGATATTTCAATCCATGCATAAAACTCCTTTTTTCAAAAAAATACCTTGTATATCCTGTACCTATATCTTTCGCCTTAGAAGTTTTCGAGTCCAAATGTGCTATAAACGTTTCATCAGTTTACAGAAACTGGTCATCTTTATCCTACAACCTGTAAATCGTAAAATTGTATATATTTTTTATAATCAAATGAAAACCGTTTATATAAAATTATTGTAGAAGGTAGATACTCTAATATTGTGTACAGTTTTCAGTGTTTTATCATGTACCTATTATTTTTGTAAAATATTTTACTTTATCACATCATTCCCGGTACGACTTGTCTTAGTAGAAAAATATATTAGATGGTACTTTTAAGAACATGTTTATTTTGTGAATATCATAATATACGTATTTTATATTGAATGTGTACATGCGAATTTCCTAGATTAGTACATTCAACTGGAAAAGTACATACATTGACACTATATAAATATAAATATTACTCTAAGCATGACAATATATGTTATTTTGTACGAAGCGCACTGAATAAGTGATTCCAGAGTAATTGTTTGCACCAACCTTCGAGTGATCTTTATTCGTTCTTTATAAATTTGAACTTTTCAATGTTTTCTGCTCTCTCCCGTTTTCTCCTCTTAATTACTTGAAAGAAAAAACAATAACAATCTTTATATGAATTCCTGTTGCCATTTTATTTTTCTGATTAGACCCAAATTATAAAGAACATCTGTTCAGACCCAGGGGAACCTACATTCGAAATTTGAGAAAGTTCATTAATGCACTTTGGAGAGGTCAGTGATAACAAACTTCATTGTCAAAATCCTAGATGATTGCCTGTCAGCCATTTCGTTTCTCTAATCACCAAATATGAAAAGATACAACTAGGGAGAAAGGGACATCTAGATGTATATATGAGAAAAAGAGAAAGGTTCATTCAATAATTCCCAAGATATAGTGATAATTAGGATAACAGACTGAGGGCAAACATTTATCAAGTATAAAAAAAAAAAATTTTTTTTACTTAGACAACATCATTTTACAATAGTCTTTGATATGTATAACTCTCCATTACCATATTAATTTGCTATCAGAATATTGCATTTATTGTCTAAATTATATAAAGAATTTTGGATTTATCAAAAAAATCAGATCCTGCCGCAAAGCAGCTTTATTGCAACCACCTGTTGTTTTCAAACTTTATTTTATTGATTTAAACCATTTATCAAACAATTAATAACAGCTCAGTGGTAGGAGGCATGGAATCAATATACCGATAATAAATTACATTCCGTAAAACCTTTTATCGGTGGATGGTCTCCATGCTATAAGAACAACCATCGAGACGATGTTGTCCTTTATCCGTCTTTGGATGACCCACACTTGTCTTACACATTCATATATGTTGAAAGGCGAAGATAAGATAATCCTCGGTGCATAGCATGTGATGAGCCATTCACCGTTAAACATTTTTATAGGACTGTATTGACCTTTGTTGTATAACTCGAGGATTTTTTATCGTAACGTTGTCCTTGCCCGTCTTTGGATGACCCATACTTATCTTACACATTCATATATGTTGAAAGGCGAAGATAAGATAATCCTCGGTGCATAGCATGCGATGAACCATTCATCGTTCAACATTTTTATAGAATTGCATTGACCTTTTTTGTATACGCTAGGGTTTTATTTATCGTAACGTTACAAGTCTAAAGACCCTTTTTGAAACTGTTAGATTGATAATATTCAAGGTTATCTGAAAGATTTTTGGTCTTTAATATAGAATATGACTTACTTTTTAAATATTTAATAATAATATAACCATTTAAGATTTTCAGCATCTGTATTTTACCTTTTGGTTCGTTTGATGTTATCATTTCTGGACCGATGTGTCTATCACCTGTTCATGGCCCTAATGACCTTGTATAAGTTGACGGACCGAAAATAGTGCGTTTCCTCTTCTTTTGACACTTCTCTAAAATTGAAGTTGTTTTTGAATTTAATTTGCTTAAGAAAAGACAATAGCATCATTATATTAATTACAATCTGATATCATCATTGTATTTCGGTGTAGTTAGATAACAAATGGTATATAATAAGTCACAATCTCTACTATTGTCGTCGCTCAAATCTGATAAAAAGTCTCATTCCGTTTTTCTCTGGTTAGGATCCGATGCGGTCAGTAACGGAGCGAAAATTAGAATATGCATTTAATCATATATATTGTCAATACTTTACAAACAAAGGGTATATGTTTTGTATTCCCTGCCTATTGATAAACAAATTAGCACATTTTCCCCGTACATCACCAGTTTGTTTTAAAATTTGTTTATGGTATAAAGCTACAAGCAAGTAGAAACGCCTGTCACATAACAGGATAACAGAATGATCAATGGGTAGTATCATAATCATAGCATTAGTATCACTAATAACAACAGCTGCACTTATTGACTCACTAAAAGTCCTTGAACTTGGGAATGTTTCGGTCAATGCCATGATTAAGATATATAATTAAGATACATATTGTAAATTAACCAACATAATGTGCTGTCAGAACTGACGTGTTCTTGACTGGAGGCTTTACTAGTAATTAATTTCGTTCTCTCGTTGAAGGTATATTAATAGAAGGCTACCGATTCATGCAGTTTGGAATAACTGAATTGGCAGGTAAGGCGTTATCGTAATTTATAGTTGTTCTTTTCAAAAGATTGTAATATAACTTAATTCAACATATTGATCAACAGACATTTATTGGGAAAGTGTAATATCAGTTTTTTATAGTGCTTGAAATCACATTCATTATCTAAATACACAACATATTATCAAATATGCTACTTACAAAGCTAGACACGGATAAGATGTAATCATATGAATAGGTTTTTTTATATATGAAGTGAATGTATCTGTTACAGTTTGAATATTTTCAAAATGAAGACAACTCTCATAGTCGCCGTTGTATTGCTCGTTATCGTAGGGATGACGGCAGGCAGACGTCCAGCACGTAAGTACTCTTTTTAAATATTACAAAATTTCGACGAATGTAAATGATGTGTTTTTGCATGCAAAATAGAACTGGAAATCTGAAACAAACTGATGGTAACTAGATGCATTATATAAACCATGCTATTTTACAGGAAAACTAAATATGTAGTAACTTGAAATATATCTCGTTATCCTTCATAATTCCAAACAGCTGACTTATAAGCAAGAGACTCGAAAAAGTTGAAGAGCTGCTTAACTGGTGGTTATCTGAATTCGTGATTACCCCTCGGAACGACTTGCTTGTTCTTTCATGTTACTGTTGCTGCACGGTTAGGGATTATATTCGGCATTGTATCCACAAAAGTATATTATCATGCCGTAAAGTGCTCTTTTTCTCATTATTTGTACAAACAACACATAACTAACAAATATGATTCAGGAGTTAACGTTCTTAGCTGAAGTGAAATATGTTAAATTATATTTTCCAATATTCATATTTGACGAAAAAACCCCGGATCTTTTGAAGGGGACACATTAGAAAAATATAAATGGACAATAACTAGTATGATTCGAAAATCAATATTATTGCTTCCAAGGCATATTTAAAAGATTTCCAATTATATTACTAAAAGGCAACGGTATTTAGTATATGTAATCATATGAATCATTTAAAAAATGTCTGCAAATGTGGAATAAAGTATTCGCAAAATCTAAGGGATTTATAGTAGGTTCATTTTCTTTCTTCATTTTCAGATCTATGTGTGCTGTTTTCAGTACTCTATCTAATGACTGCCATATAAAGTTTCATTAATAATAGGAAAGTGATATCTATATTAACTAGAAATCTTAACCTCCCTTATGTATTTATGCCGATCCTTTGTCATATCTGAATTTTTAAAAAAAAGTTTTGTAAACGGCATCAGTTTCAATCAGGTATCTTGATGACAAAATTACAATATGTATATTAATTGAAGGTCAACTTTTTACGTTTGAACTTTGAAAATACATCAGATAAAGCCATACACTCACACCCCTTTTTAAAAGTGTATTATGACGGTAGAAACGGGTAAATAACGCTTGCGTGTTACGAGACGAAAACATCGTGCGTACATTTTCATATATCTTTATATTCTCATATTTTGTACTATGTCCTTAGCAGAACTGGTGCCAGGAGAGAAAGCAAGGGATGTCCGTAAACTCACTTCTTTATCATATTTCAGACTGTAAACTACCGGTTGATCATGGTCACCATTGCCCACGTGGACCTGTGGAACGCGTTTACTATGATAAGTCTACAAATTCATGCAAGTCTTTCAACTATCGTGGATGTGGTGGGAATAAGAACAGGTTCAAGTCTCATCGCGACTGTCGAAGAGAGTGCGCTTAGATTACCACGGTTAGGAAACCTGTCGACGCCTGACTGGGAAATGTTGCTGATATCTCAGAATATTAGGTTTCAATAATACTTATATTGACGAAATCATTATTACACGTGTTTGTTAATATATCTTGATAGAAACGGACTCTACTGTGTTATTAATTTATGCATATATCAAATTATCTTCAGAACGGACTATTTTTTTTTTAAATTGTGAAAAGAAGCAAAGTTGTGACTTCATGTATCTTGCTAATCATTATGTATTGCTGTACAGTTTTCGCTATATATTTTCTAGATGTAATCGTTGATGAATGTATCAAAATAAAAGCAATCTTTACTGTTTCTGTTTTCCTGGAATTTGATTTGATTGTATATTACAATAAAAGGCAGGGCAAATTTAATGCGAACAAGGCTACGATCACTTAAATTATACAACAAAACTTATTTTGTTGTCGAAAGGTGTAGTTGAATTGAACATAAAACATAAAATTCCAACATCTGTATATTTTAATGTATAATGATATAATTGAGCATTAATCGTGTGTGTATCACATTGACAATTTTAATACCTCGAAATCATACATCATTTGAATCTAAAATAAGCAAGGAACACAAGTATAAAAAACATTTCAAACAATTTATCAAGAGACAGCCTTGTAACATTTATAATATGTATTTTGTACAGTAACCTTTCATCATTTTTGTCATAAAAATCTGTTTAAAACGTTACAACTGCCAAACATTAGTTATTTCCCAAAGTTATTGACATCGGAAATACAATCGCTGTTTAAATATAAACTTTCATTTCTTTTATAACGATTACGAAACAACTTATTCTCACCTATTTTACCAGTAATTATATTAATGTTGGTCGCAAGCAAGGGTACTTACTGTGGAAGGAAACTGGGATACTCTGGGAAAATCAACGTGGTCAGATACTTATCCTCTTACCTTTTTACTTTCATTCGGAGAATGCACCACCCGAACCTCTCTCTCTCTCTCTCTCTCTCTCTCTCTCTCTCTCTCTCTCTCTCTCTCTCTCTCTCTCTCTCTCTCTCTCTCTCTCTCTCTCTCTCTCTCCCTCCCTTTTTCTCTGTTTCTATCTCCCTCCCTCCCTTCTTCTCTCTCTGTCTCTCTCTCTCTCAGTCTCTGTCTCTCTGTCTTTCCCTCTCTCGCCCTCTCCTTCTCTCTCTCTCTCTCTCTCTCCCCTTCTCTCTCCTCCCCTTGTTGTGCTCAATCTTTTTGTATACACTACTGCAAATGAAATGTGTTTAAATCAAGTAAAGTGATTTTTATGAAGTGCTTGTGAGTCGTGTCACTATTCCAATGAATTTTATGTGGTTTTATAAAGCAAAACGCGTTTCAGCGTTGCATAATACATATAAATAACATAAGATGAGGATTAACATTAAAACATATTTTGTATACAGTGTCATATCATCTGTTTTCGATGACGAAACACGAAGCTTGAGGCCCCTACTGAGGTTTGAGTGCTAATGGGTCATAATCTTCTTGGGGTTTGCTTTGCTGTCAAAGCCTGATTGCTTGACCAAAGGTCTCAAATTCTTGAGGATTAATAGTTTGATTTTGATATGGAAAGGACTCTATTTCGGAAACGTTTGGGAGAGTTCAAAACGGTGTTTTTTCTCGGTTGGACTCAATTTTGTTGGGTTTTCAAATAAACTTTATTTCATGGTCATTTTATTTCGCGGATGGATAGTACTGAAGACTTTCTTTTATACTTAATCAACAATGAATTGCTTTGTTGACACACTAATTCATAGATAAAGAATAATTACGGAAAACAAATCAAGAAAATACCAACATGACAACATAATTCTAAACCAAACTCAAATTCCATAAAACTAGGGCAATACATTAAGAAAAGAAATATTTTTTTTTTATCAATTTTATATTCTACTACAGAATAGAATAGAAGTAATTAAAAAAAAACCCACAGATGTAATGAAAGTTGCATTTTTTTTTCATCGTCAATACCTCTATGCTAGTCCCTGACGAAAATGTAATCCCGTCATACCAATCTCGCGAAATTTTAGTGAATTACAGTAAATACCTTCTATGGAAATCGCGTCTTATTAGTTACAAATGTCAATCTTATTTTAGGAACGTAAGGCCACTGGTGCACGTCATACGTATACATGACTCCAATATCTGCCAGTCAGACTCTATTGATAGGGTCAGGCTGAAACTACAGAGGAAAGGTTATGCTTATATTAGCTGATGCTGAATCGGGAGAGTACCATTCTCCCATATCAGCTTAATGTGATCGTTACATAAATTGATGTAGTTTCTAAACCGTCTGTCTTTGTGCTAATGTATACAATGTGCTGTTTTATCCCATATGTTATTGTTGATTGGCAACGTGGCCACGCTGTAAAATCGGTATAGCCCATGTTAGTAATATTGACTGTTCTTTTAAGTTCAAATTCTAAAATAATTAAATACTTAATGACCCTCCTAGAATTGTCTTGCGGTTTCTTTAAATCATTATTGTCTAAACATTGACGATAATGTTATCCATACGAAAGTACAATTTCACAAATCCATTTCTTGGTGAGAACAGTATTCTCAAAATTATGTCATATAGATTACGCATTCGGTATGATTCAGTATGAATCTTATTATCATACACATACTGTCTAATGTACTTAAGGTATGTATTATCTTGAAATATTATTCAAAAGTATACATGACCCTGTTAAAGACTTACCACTTTTTTTTGTTTTTGTTTTGTTTTTTTTGGGCGATATGAAGGCTGTAAATTAGTTATTTTCATATCTCTCGCTCGCTCTCTCTTTCCTCTCTCTCTCTGCAGCATGAATGAAAAAAATAAGCAAGAGTTTATGTATGTGTAAATTTTAGAAAAAATATTAGCTATTGGTGCAAACATTTCTGTTGATGAATGGTGTGATAATGAGGACGACGAAACATGCATGTTGATGTTGCTGATGTACTAATTATGTTTATATCATGTTCAGTGATGAGTAGGAAGATGGTGATGATGTGATGAATAATGGCAACTTTAATGATCAACAAATATGAGAGTAACGGGTATGAATGTCTTCCTTTATTCTGTTCCAGGTAAAATTTTTGAAAAAATAAAAAAAAAATAAAAAAATAAAAAGAATTATATGATAACATGATTGTCTGTTAGCAAAAAGAATGTTTCAATTGATTAAGAATATATCTTAGTATGTATGTTTTATAAAGATGTATATATATTTTCTCATTCTTTTCACAGAAATGAATAAATAATGTGAACTTTGATATTTTTAATATTTTTCAGATATGGCTTTGTTAATGCGATACCACGTAACGTTGTTGTTGCTGTATATATATATATACAAACACTTGACATTGTAAATAGATTCGCTAACGTTTTCAGGCCTCGCGGCCATCTTCAGGCACCCATAAGCAGTTCATCTAAGATTTAACGAAACCTTCATCGTCGAATCTCTATAACCTATATTTTAAAAATGCATTTTATTTTGACGGTTTTTATATACATAAACTTGGAACAGCAGTGGGCACAAAGGTATCACCGACGTATGCAAACGTAGTAATGGTTTGAACACCGACTGTGCGAGATAGTAAAAACAACTTTGGTGACACCTTTAGTATGTACATAAAGGAATGCTGGAAACGTTATCTGGATGACTGTATCATAATATGAACAAAGTCCAGCACAGACCTATCCATGTTTGAAGAAATGCTCAATTACCTCAATCCATCTATTAAATTCACAATGGAAAATAGTTTAACGGAACCAGCGTTTCTGTATATAATGGTACAAAAAAGCGGAGAAAATATTTTGACTGATATTTACCACAAATCCACGGATACACAGCAATATCTAGATTTCCATTCATGTCACCGGCCTCGCACAAAAAGAAATATACCATTTTGTTTAGCACGGCGGATATGTGTCCTTGTTATAGATAGCAGGAAAAGAGAAGAAAGATTCAATGAACTTCAAGTATTTCTGTGCAAACAACACTATCTGAATCAGGTGATTAAAAAAGAATTTAACGCGCCAGGTAGGACAAGCTAACAAAACCGACATACCGTTCGTTTTGACACATAACCCAGGTCATCGTAATATGGTTTCCGATCATTCTATTGCCATATTACACAAGAGCAGACAGTTACGCGATCTCATTAAGTCATCGGATATTCTTCAAAGTAAATTGCAACCCAACAACTTGAACAAGATACTAATCCGAGCTTATTTCTATATCAACGACCAGCGCGACCATGTGGTTTCCAGTGCGGAGTGATTTAAATTGTAAAAAACAGAAACCTGATTTACTGCATTACCTGTCCAACATGTCTCGAAACAACATTAGACAGACAGGAAATGCAATTTCCGAAAGAGTTCGAGTCCACAGACAGCAGATCCGCAAAAAAAAAAAAATCCCACATAATATCCTGCTGAGTGTACATTTGGACAAAGTTAACATTTTGCTATACCCGTTTTATCAGATGTCAGAATTTACAACATCAAAACGAATCAGCTGCAAAGATTTCTTTGTGAAACTGTTTCACTCGTCCCTAAATACACGCTGACGATTGTGTCGCGATACCATTTATGGTTAATAACGCTATTAACTCCCCTTATGTTGTTACTATGTACTATATTACTGTGTAACATATATGTATATAGCAGCTGTAACTGATTTAAAACTATATGTGTTAACAAAATCTGCATATGAGTTCAATGCACCATGTTATTCATTAGATGAGATGATGCCGTGTAGCCACCTATTCCGTCCCTTCTCCTTCCTTATTTAAGAAACTTTTTTACTTTCATCATCTTGTGAGAACCCACAGCCACGATCACAAAACAGTGTGAACAGTAAAGTCCTGCCGTGCATTGATACACGAAGATGTTCTTATGCACGTTTTTCCTATAATCTTCTGTAATCATTGACATCACTAACCTGACAAATGTCCCGAAAAGATCTTATCATGTGATGATGTAAGGTTTCTTACTACCGTGTCTCTAATTCCATTGCGATGACACTGAAAAAAATTATATAGCTATCATTGAGATATGTCATAGCACAGGACGTATACATGAAAGACGGATCACACAACAATTATTATTACAATGTGCTAACCACTTTCTGTAACACTAGACCACGAAAACAATATCTTCCCTTAAATGTTTATATTTTGGATATTGTATTCTGGTGATCCGTTTAGTATTAACAAATGCAATTGCACGACGTCATCCCCATTCACCTTTCTGCCTTACATATTATAAGATTACCTCATTTCACCAAATTACGGCATATTACTATCAGGCTCTCTCGGAACAATGGTAATTGGTAAATACTTAAGCCACATGTAAAGATACATATACAATATGACCTAAATAGATAATACGTGATACACATTCCATTATACTGATATGAACTATCAGCTATCGCAGAGTCGAGCACACTTCATGTTGTTACATTTTTGATGCATAGATCACCAATTGTAGATGATATTCACAATTTGCCGAAGTGGACCAAGAGAAGGTGCAGTATGACTGCGATATCTACTCCATTTTAGTTAAAATTTTGACCTTTTGATGAGATTGCTAGTTCGGTTAATCCTCAAGGTTATTTCTCAAATCTATACAATTCTGCCACTAATCATTGTCAAACGACATGTATTTCCTTTTAGTAAAACACGTTCAGATGATATTTTGTTCTGATGAATCTATAATAACATCACCTTTTGTTCTTTCAGTTTTAGTTACGGAGATTGCTCAAGAAAGAAACTAGCAGCTGTATTCTACTTGGCAAGTGTGAATCACGGCCAGGAAATATGCCGGCGGAAAGCAGTAATATGGAGAAAGACTCGTGCTTTCCAAAAATCAGAATTAGATACGATAGATCAAAACAACAGAGTGTGATTTATTCTATTTGCATCTATTTTTCATTTTTCATGATTGTAAGTAACATTGTTAACACTTTTTTTTTTTACTTCAAAACAGTTCTTCAAAAAACTAATTATTTGACATGAATCTATGTAAACAAGAAAATAGTCATGGAGATATAAGAATATTTCGTTACCTCATCGTAATCTGAAAACCAAGAACCGGACGGCAGACGTCAGTTAATGAGAGAAAAAAAACCCCAAACAAACAAACAAACGTTCCGATGTGAATATGTAAGATCGATTTATGCTTCATTTATTTCCATGTTTGTGCAGGGCTGGAATCGTAGTCTGTTCGGTCCGAGTTTTCCCGATATCCAACAGATTTGCCACATCGATCTGGAGCTGGGATCGTGGATTGTTACAACGTTTTATATTGGCTACGCATTTGGCGCCCTTATTGCTGGATTGTTAGGGGCATTTAATCAGAATTTGACATTTGGATTTTCTCTCATCACATTAGCGACTTCTGTTGTTGTAACTCCTTGGTGTTCTGTGTATTGGATAATGATAGCAGCCCACTTTTCACAAGGATTTTGCCAGGGAGTCGTAGATACCAGTAAGTTAAAAGTCTCATGATTTAGTTTTGTTCAACCTTATCTTACGAAGGAGTCATTACTAGCTCGTAATTAGGCAAATTGAATTTTAAAAGGATTCTAAAAGTGGGACTCGATTGTGACAAATCATGACAAAGCACCTTAATACGATAACTTGTAAATAAAATGAAAAGAAAAAAAAATGTATTTATATGAAAGACAATAATGTAGCAATAAATTTGAGGAAAATTATAAGAAAATCTGCTTTGAAGTTCGGCTTAAAATCCACATACACTCATCTTACTGATCTCATATTTCAAGTCAATTATCTCATTTTTATTTGTCTGTTTAATATGTAGTTGTTTTGTCTTTTCTGTAGACGTCTGAAAGTTTTGAATGTCATCTATTCCATATGAATATATGAATCAATCTTTTTAATGAGTCAGAGATGACAGCAACCTCATATCTAAGCACTAAAATATAATGGCATTTATTTTGGAAATCTTCTTTAAACATTACTTTCAGGTCTGACAAGGAAATCTGTCCAGTCTTGTTGAAATGATTTGCTCGACTTCTGTGAATCTGAATTAGATGATATCACATCTTTGTACATAAATTTACTATCCGAAATCTTTCAAGTAAGCCAATCTGATAGTGAGATTTTCCATTTCGTACCCTTTTCAACGAGCTGAGAGAATCATTCAACACAGAAGGCAAATTAATGTTTGTCCTGTATCACTTATACTTCCAAAGGGCGTAATGAGATACGAATCTTTCTTGAGCAAACTTCGTGAATGTATTTTTGTCTATTCTTTCTCTTTATTTCAGTCGGGAATTCTGAAATTCTACGTATATGGAAGAACAATCGTTTGCTGTACTTCTGCCTTGAGCTAAGCTATGCCATCGGGTGCTTCGTTTCACCTTTGGTAGCAGCTCCATTTCTCATGGATACCCTAGTAAACCAGACTTCGCTTACCAATATCTCCATAGTATATAACGTGACTACTTTCAATGAGAATTTCCGTAATATTTCTATAGCAGAACTTTTACGAAACGCTTCTTTTAGCCCTAATCTCGATAGCGTGAATACTTCCTCAGTCGTGATTCCATCGGCTACATCTTTCCAATCAATGATTTATATTCCTTACTCACTGACCGGAATTCTTTTTAGTTGCTTATCAACTTTCTTTTTCTTGATTTATGTTGTTGATAAACGCGAACGTACCCGTCGTTCACAAGAAACAAATATAACAGAAACAGATGACCACTCGAAACACGAAACAAAAGGAATATCTGAACAAGTTTCTGGACCGAATTCCGGATGCAATCCTATAGCTAGAGTACTCCCTACTAAGGTTAAAGTTTTCGCTTTAGTTACAACAAGCATTCTTTTGCTTTTTTATGATGGGATAGAAGAAGCTTTTGCTGCCTTTCTTACTTTATACTGTGTAGATTATTTAAAATGGACCTCATCAGATGGCGCTTTGATAACTGCCATGACCAATGTATGTGGTATCATTGCCATTATCGGTTCCTTGTTTATGAAATGTATCAACACCATTGTGTATGCAGGTGTCAACTGTGTTTTAATATCGCTTTCCTTTTTTGGCATATTGATAAGTTCGCTGTATTATTACGACATAGGTATGTGGATTTCTTGTTGTTTTCATGGTTTCTTTAAAAGCGTCCTATTTTCCCTGACTTTAACTTGGGCCAATGAATATATAACGCCAGTGACAGGAAGGATTGCGTCTGTGTTTATGATTTCTTGTTGTCTGGGCGCAGCAGTAAATCCGGTGATACTTGGATATATAATGGAGACGTATGGTAATATATGGTTGTGCTATTGTTTTGTAGCTGAAGGGTGTGTTGTTCTCTTCTTGTATTTTGTTATGGTCGTCATCACGAGGTATATCGTGAAACATTTCGGTAAAACTTCGGATACGTCAAATACATATGAAACTGCAATTTCAATGAGGGGCACGGTTATCGAAGAGTTTGAAAACGATGATGATGATGACTGAGAAACGAATTCAATTACTACTAGTAGTGACAATGTCTTATCCACGCCCGGTATTAAACGATAAAAGGACAAACATCTTCCTGTTGAATGGAGCTAGCTGATATGTAAATGAAAAACATGTTAGGTATTTTGTGTATATCTATCGTAGAGACCCAATCAAAATAGTCAAAAGTTAAAATATGCAATTTTCCTTTTTATCTTGTCTATGCGATCGTGCACTAAAGCACGCACCAGTTTAAATATCTAGCTACATACATTGTATAACGTACAAACTGTCGGTATTTTACGAGTAATCGATAAGGTACCAGTAAATATACTAGAGCAAACGAATATGTGGTTATGTGTTCCTATTGAGACAAGTGTGTGCTTCGTTGTTGATGCGGGAGGAAAGTTTATTAAGTTCTGTCAGAATACTCGATGAAATCTGAACTCCAAATCATGACATGAAGGCTTCATCAAAGAAGTTAATATTAAAAAAGAATACACACACGTAGTGTATTTTTTAGCCATGTGACTGTATCCTTCATATTCCGAAATAAGGTACTCAGAATAGGAATACGTTTACGACAATGTTTTTAAATGTACCATTAAAAACATAAAATTTTAGGTCAAGCAATTTTAGATTTTACGTTTTTTCTTATCTCAAAAATATACAGCATACTTTTACTGTAATAATCACATCGAATTTACCAGAGATAGTCAATCACAGCACAACAGGATAAAATGAGAATGTCAAAGAATCAGCGAGATTGTTAAAAAAAACTGAGGAAGGAGATATCAGTATGCTGATGGCAACTTCACTGAAGAAAATACGGAGGCCCGTCGCATGCCATTAAAAGAAATTCAGATAAAGTGTCTTGCCCAAGGACACAACAACGGCAGCATAGCCCGGTCAGTTTCCAAACTTCCTGAGAAACACAAACTTCTACAGATAAGAGGATTCGAACCATGCACTAAGCACCCGAGATAACGTTTACTGATGCACTTATCGACTTAGGCTTTTAAAACTGCCTGAAAAAATCCAGGACTATGAAATTGATTGGAACCAACCAATTAGGTCTTTCAATACAACAATATTTAGTTTTTGTAATTAAACCGTATTTGATAACCATGAACAATAATCCCTAGCGTATAAAATGTACACGAAAAACATGATAGTTAATCGTTTTCACATTGCATACATTTAATTATCGATAAGACCTATGTATTACTAAGACATTATACTAGAGGAAATGCATTAAATAAGACATATAAAATGAGAATATTCTAAACTTTTATTAACGTGATAGAGTATGGTTAGATGGTGATAAACATTTGCATTTCTCTCTTCCTGGTTTTATTTTAATAAGCTTTAATCCCAGGTAAAGGTCCATCATTTACACCTTGCCTTAAATTTTAATAACAAATGTATCGAAAAAAACATTTCATGATAATCGTTAGGGGATGTTGAAATGAATCTTTGCACGGCACTTGAAAAAGAAGTTTAAAATACAGTAGGTTTTGTTCAAATCTAATATGATACATAAATGACACAGGCTTCAAGCATCTATATTTATATCAGTACATGCAATGATTTTGGCATTAAAAGATGATGCGTGTGTCAAATGAACATCTTAAAATTACAGTAGTACTCAAATTTCAAACTGTACAATACCAGCTGCATATATTACATCCTGTGGGTTACACAGCACATAAAGTAACGACATTTTCCTGATATCATGGTTCCCTTAATTTTCAAAAAGGTTTTACTAATGCTCTTTCTACTTCTAACGTCCCGCTGTTGGTTAGTCTCTACAAACACTCTGCATACATATATTCCAATTCAAATAACATATTGGAAGCTCGTCTTTGTACGCTTCAGTTAAATTTAGATATTTGCTCCTGTATGGTGGCATATTCAAAATGTGGTGTAACGAGCACCTAAAACAAAAGTTCTGACATATTTTCATCCATAAAGGTTCTTCTATTGAGACCAATTGAATGTGCCCTGAAGTTAAGAGCTTTTACCTCAGTTACACCCATCTTTTAATTTCTAGTTCTATTCTCCCTTCCGATGCTTAAAGCATATGGATTGTGACTGTTTTCTAGAAGGTTTCTTTTCAGATAGGATTGAAAATGCTTTGATTCCTTTGGATAAAATTTTAGAAACTATTTCGAAGACCAAACCAGAATCTTTTAGATCTACCTCTCTATCCGGTTCAATGTCATAGAAATCGTACATACTTGAAACATACTCTCCAATTCCTCGAAGAAGATTTTTCTGTTTTTTGTTTGTCTCTTTCACCTTGGTTACCTCTAGTCTAGTCTAGTCTAGCGATGAAAAAGCAGATCGTCTCGCAAAGGAAGCTTTATCGCTACCACCTGTTGTTTTAACATTTATTTTCCGATTTTAAATCATTTATTAAACATATTTTAACACCTCAATTGCAGGAGGAATGGAATACATATACCAATAATAAATTGCACTCCGTAAAACCTATTGTCAGTGAATGGTATCCATGCTATAGAGACAACCACCGAGACGAAGTTGTCCTTGCCCGTCTTCGGATGGGCTATACATTCCTTACACATTCATATATGTTGAAAGAAGAATGTAATCCTCGGTGCATAGGTAGCAGTACACACTTTCTTGGTGTGGCCATGGGTGATATTTTTGTAAAGTAGAGAATCTCTGGACACGACGTTATTAAATTTCCGAGTTACATTTTCCTTAAACAGAAATACGTTTGATCTCATGTATGCAGTGTTGAATTTTTTATGTGTGTCATAGTTGAAATTTCTGTCTTATTTGGTGAGATTTTCAATCACAAATCACAATATATTGCTGTTTTCAGTGTTTAATGTGGTAACCATAGTTGTTAACAGTAAACATGTATTTAGAGAATGCTCTATTGTATATTAAGATGGCATGTGGTGTTTAGTTTATGAAAATATATACTTTCATATGTCTGTTTTGCACGGTTAATACACTGTGTATAATTATCTGGAATGTGTCCCTTATTTTTCAGAAAATGGCCATTTATCTGTTTCCTGTTACCTTATAGGATTTTACCAAAATTTATTGCATGACGAATATTCTTTAAAATTCTTCATTTGGGACTCATTTACATCTGGAATGGCTAGAAACATCAGAAAAGACAACAAAAATTCTGATTTGGCTCAATCGGTTGATCTGCACTAGGTGATAAAAAAGGGAGATGACTCTCCAATTTCTTGTAATTTCATAGCCAGACAATTGATAAGTTAATATCACCAGGTTATCGGTGATTGTACATTGACAGAAAACACCTGTGTGTGGTGTTCAGTATTCTTAACATTTTATACATGTATTGAGTTCTTATCAGTCTCGTGTGTACGTTTGTGTATGTAGTATGATAGTTTCGTAGTCAAAAGTAATAGGTCCAGAGAGATACTGACAATATCTATATATTAACATTTTGTTGTAGGTTTTTAAGCTTTTGTAGTGCAGTCAATTAGTGGATATCATTAAGTCAATTTATGGATCCAAGTATAACTAGGTACGAACTCCTCGTCACGTTACAGGGGCAATTAATGACTATTGTTTTTATGACATTACAACGAGGTGGTGAAGTTACATTGTGACATCATAAACAAAAGCCTGTCAAAACATTACTTTGCTTATGGCAACTGTCGACAACAGACTTCATCTCATAAACAAACTAAAAATCAAGTTTTCGAAGGACCAGCTATCCAAATTGCCGTTCCTTGGTGGAAAGGCGTTCGCCTGTCATTAAGTATTCATTGTTAACAGTACCTAGTTGACGGATGTTTTTTAACTTCATATATAGACTTCGGACAAAAACAATGGAACGACTGCACTCTTGCTAATCGTGCCCCATGTGCTTCGTTTAGATGACCTTGACAGTTTGTATTTACACCAAACAAAATAAATCATATCACACTAAAAAGATTATCGTATCTGTATTGGATGATAGATTCAAATGTTATGATAAATTAATTACCTGATATTTTTGTGATGTATTCTTGAGCCTTTCTTATAGCAGATATCTTTTTTGGAATAGACCGGTATATGTTTTGGATAGTTATAAGTCAAAACTGGTCCAAACGGGAACTTTCTCTGTTCAAGTCGGAACTCTGTGCCGGCCAGCTCATTGCGTTTATTTGGGTTGATTCCATAAATGTCTTCCAGAAATCAGAAACATATAATTATTATCCGGAAAATGTCTAGCAATCACCGGCCACAAGTTTTAGTCTATAAATAATTTCAATATAATATTTTCCGAATTCACGTTACCGTCAACACGAGTGAGTGTCCGCAACAGATCATAAGGCTAAGCTTTTTATCGTGAACTCTTGGAGAAATACACTCAGAACGATATGCTTCATCAGATTTCCTTCAAATGCACACTATTGTCTTTTTCGATTATAATCACACTTCCATCAGTTATTTGTAAAATCTCTAAAAGTAGCCATGGCATCAACAAGATGGTCTCCAGTGTGATGATCTTTCACTTTCCTTGTTGACAATACAAAGTGTGTCGGGAGCCAAGCCTCGTCAAGTAATTGATAACTCTTTTCTGGTGCTGGAAGTGCCAGTGGAATATTAAATATTAGAAAGCCATATTGCTTTTACTGATATACAGGATTTAGCAATTTCTGATTATATTCAACAGAGGACATATCAATCTTTAGAAGTACAGCTGAATTAAAGTACTATTTCACTATATTTGAGCTTTATAAACGGAATTTTATGCTCAACCGATTGCGGAAACGGAGCAGACACCTAACGTTGTCGATAGTAACTGAACTCGTAGTCACGGGATGCTGCTATATTTTTCATAATTCTAACAACGCTATCAAGGGGAGGAAAGGTAGCAATTATTGGTTCCAATTGGTCCTAAGTCGTGCACGTAAGTAATTTATGATTTGAACTCATTTCGTTAATGCCTTTCAATTTCATCCCCGGGACATCAGTGACAGAGTACAATAATTTCTGAATATATAAGATCGATTCGAACTCCGGAGACAGAGGGACAGGTCCCAAAATGACAATGAAGTAAACTTCTGCTTTAAAATGATATTCCATAAAATTCTATAAGAAAACCAATTATTTCTTAAATCATTTGATATTGATTTAATCCCCTGAGGCAAGCAATGGGAGGGAGATCCCTTATAGGAATTATATTTATGCTTTAAATCCTATCACAGTTCTATCACGCTGGCAATGTGTAATCACCTATGGTTTATAGTAGTTTAGTTATTTAAGAAGGTCAACGCCCAATTAGGAAAATTAATGCTTCGCTTCAAATTCTGCCATTATGAACAATTTTTGTAGAACTAAGTTACTTCTATGATCAGACGGGTGTGACCCAATGAAGGAAATTGAGACAGACGAGACGTGCTGCTTGAATTTCTCTTCATCCTGTATAATGTTTACGCGGTTTCTAAACATTTGGTCTGAAACGTAATCAGATGGAGCAGAAGGGTAATTTTTAATAGAATTGATGGACATTAGACTCTTCTGGGTAAGGATTGGAGTGTCCAATAAGCTAAAATATGCTGTATATCCCTATTTAAGTTGATAACTGATACATGACCACTATGTTGTGACTACTGACCAACCACTAAACACATATTGGAAATCATTTTCCTGCTGTAAATCTTCATAGTCAGTAGATACCTACTTAGGTCTTTTGTAGTGTATCCTGTTTTAGGACTCAACAGATGACACATTTGCTTCCTATCCAATTTAGGCTTCAGTATTAATGTGTTCAGTATAAATGGCATTGTTATGTAATACTAGTATAAGAGTCTATGACAACGACTGTTGCAACTCTTGAGACGTGTAGAGCTTCAAAATGGCACGGAACGCTGTATTGACCCTACAAACATGTTATAAAAACTGAAACGAGTCGCTGGAAATCGCATTACTTCAAGTGTATCTGTTGTAGTAAAGTTAAACGTTAATCACATGGATGTATTTATGCGGAAACAATATACATTTTTTACTCTTTTTAATACTATAATGACATTAAAAAAAGAAGAAGATTTTAGGCATTATTATCCGACACTTGTTAACCTGCTCGTGAATATTACCTAAAATATTGTGGAGGCACGATTTAGGGATTGATTACCATGTATACGTTGCATGAATACGTTAATGATTGAAGTGAGCAACATCAACATATATGCACAACACATGTACAGCTAGCACATCAATTACTAGCAAATACGTAGTCTAAGAGTGATTATATAAAAAATGTATATTAAATACCGATGTTCATTGACAATTTTCTTTCCAGCAATCCGTAACCCTACAAATCGTTTATTATACAATGAATGCAGTTAAATTGAGCCTTAAGTTACATTCCGTAGGCGCGTTCATTCGTACTCTCTCGCACAGACAAGAAACAAACGAAAATAGTACGATTTTGCTTTTACTTTTTTGATGGATTCGCTAAGTTAAAAAAAAAAATGTATACACACGCAAACACCCGGTACGTGTCACGTTGATAATTTATGTATAAGAATGTCCCTTTCGATCGACAGGAAAGACATTTTCCCTTATCAAAGCAGTTTCGCTACCATTAGGTGTTGAATTCATTTCTCATGCATTATCAAACTCTGATAATACTGCCCGTCATTGAAATTGCTGTTTCGTATATATCTGACGTATCCAAAGATTTACCAAAATTTTTCACAACATACCTCGTAATGACGACCATAGCAAAATACAAGAACAGGACAAAAAATCCTTCAGCTACAAAACCGTAACACAACCATATATCACCAAAAGTCTCCATCACATATCCAAACATGAGCGGATTTACTGCTGCGCCTAGACAAGAAGAAATCATAAACAGGGACGCAATCCGTCCTGTCACTGGTGTAATGTATTCATTGGTCCAAGTGAAAATCAACGAAAACAGGATGGCTCTGAAAAAACCGTGAAAACAACAAGAAATCCACATACTTATTCCATGATAATATAGTGAACTTATCAATATACCTAAAAAGGAAAGCGACACAAAAACGCAATTGATACCTGCATACACAATAGTGTTGATACACCTCATAAACAAGGAACCAACAATTGCAACTATACCACATATATTCATAATGGCAGTTATCAAAGCACCATCTGACGGAGTCCAATTAAGATAATCGACACAATATACAGTAAGAAAGTTAACTAAGGCTTCTTCGACTCCAACATAAAACGACAAGAAAATACTTGTGGTAAGTAAAGCGAAAACCCTGATCATGGTAGGGAGCTGTCTAGCTATAGGTGCACATCCGGATTTTGTCGCAACCGCCTGTTCTGCATTACCTTTTGTTACAGGAACGGGATTTAATTCGTCTTCGGGTTGTGTTATAGCAGTAAACTGAGAAAGACAGACTTGTTCATAAACAAAGTACATTAACAAAAAAGAGACTGATATGCAACTAACAAGAAATGCGGTTAAAGAGTAAGGAATGTATATCATCGATTGGACAGATTTAGTCGATGGAATCCCGTCTGAGGAGATGTTCACGCTATCAGGAGTTCGGTTAAAAAAAGTGTTCCGTGAAAAGTCTGATATAGAAATATTTGGAACTTCCTTATTCACAGTTGACATGTGATATCCTGTAGAAATATTATTAACCAAAGTCTGGTTTACAGGAATATCCATGAGAAACGGAGCGGCTACCAATGGTGAAACGAAACTCCCGATGGCATAGCTTAGCTCAAGGCAGAAGTACAGCAGACGATTGTTCTTCCATATACGTAGAATTTCAGAATTTCCGACTGAAATAAAGAGAAAGAATAGACAAAAATACATTCACGAAGTTTGCTCAAGAAAGATTCGTATCGCATTACGCCCTTCGAAGGTATAAATGATACAGGAGAGACAATAATGTGGGAAATATACTTACTTAACAGATGCATACAATGTTTATATCTATGATAGTATAGTAATCGCCAATTAATTGTAAATAATAACATATAAATGATAAAAGACTTCATAGTAGCGTCATGGTGCTATTTTTAGATAAAAATTTTTACATTGCTTGTAAATAAATGTCTTTTTGAATATAAAAGACTTCATAGTAGCGTCATGGTGCTATTTTTAGAATGTGCAAATGTGTCTATTTTATGACCCAACGCTAAATGTCATAGAAACGACATTCACAATGGATGATATAAAGGCGATCCGTCATTGCAGATGTTATTTTACTTTGTGCCATAAACATATCAAAATTTTTACATTGCTTGTAAATAAATGTCTTTTTGAATGGGCAGTTTTACGGAAACGCATCACCAGGACGATGTAAGCAAATAAGAAATTTCAGGGAGCATTGGCGTCCAATATTGTTTGCCATTTATTTGTTCTTCAAAAATGGAAATTTTATACACTCCACGGCGTATTGTCTTAATTATGTAGAATTGATAATAAATTGAAAATTCATGTTACGAAAACAAGAATTATTTACGAGCAGACGATGATGATCATGGACAACACTGGCAATCTGAAAATTGATAAATAGGATATTTTGTGTTCTTTCACGACACACCATCTTAATGGTTTGCAATGGATTTATATGTCATTTACATGTACGTATTATACAGCACCGATGATCAATATTCGTTTCATGACAGGATTAAAACGTTAAGCTTTATGATTTTTGCAGTTTAATTTGGATTAAATGGCCGTTGTTTTGATTAAGGTTACTAACAACATAATTCATAATTTCATAAATGTAAATGAAACCTTATTAAAAACTTACTGGTATCTACGACTCCCTGGCAAAATCCTTGTGAAAAGTGGACTGCTATCATTATCCAATACACAGAACACCAAGGAGTTACAACAACAGACGTCGCTAATGTGATGAGAGATAAACCAAATATCAAATTCTGGTTATATGTTTCTAACAATCCAGCAATTAAAGAGCCAAATGTGTAGCCAATATAAAATGTAGCAACAATCCATGATCCCAGCTCTAGATCGATGTGGCATATGTGTTGAATGTCGGGAAAGCACGGACCAAACAGACTGCGACTCCAGCCCTTTACAAACCGTGAAATAAATGAGCACAATTCGAGAATGCATAACTGTTTTTGTTCATTAACTGAAAATTCGAAGTCAAGTTCTTGAATTTCATAGTATAGCCTACGACTGGTGCTAGACAGAAGCACCTATTCTATTTTTTTTCTTTTCTCATAGCGGTATTTTATTGTTTTTAACACTTATGCATTTTTTTGTAAGTATATTGCAATTATGTCTGTTTTTTAACAGAAAACTACTTACTATCATGAAAAATGTAACATAGATGCAGATGGAGTAAATCACATTCTGTTGTTTTGGTCTATCGTGTCCAGATCTGCAAATGGAAGTACTTGGATCTATTTCCATTTCATTGTTTTCCTCCGTCATATTTCTTGATTCCGGTTTACATTGGCCAATTATTAAACAGCTGCCGGCTTCACCCTTCTTCAACCTTCTTTACTAAAGCTGCAACATAAGAACATAAACTGAATCGTAGTATAATCACAATAAGATCACTTTTGAAAATAGTTTACCAACGACAAATACTTGTGTTAGTTAGCTTCATCTCAGAGTTGTCTGTATTCAGGCTTAGTATGAATCTTGAAAATATAAAAAAAGTTTCCTTCTTAGATTTTGGATAGAAAATACTAGCACTTTTCTCTCTGTCATGCAGATCGAAATTGTACGCCGTGAAGTAGAATACAGATATGTTCAATATACTAAACCTCACTCAGCTCCTGTTCAATTCAGTTCATTGAGACAGAATCTACGATGTATTGGTTCCTACATCAGAAATATAACAACCTCAAGTGTGTTAAAGTCTGAGTTAGTGTCGAGCACATTTTCCTATCACTTTGACAGAGTATGTTCCATGTATTATCTATGTGGGTCAAACTACAAGTAAAATGTATCTGTATCGGTGACGAATTTATTTGTAACTTAGATTCCAAACATTACATATACTTAGCCACAGTTAGGAGTTATCTCGTTGTGACAATAATGTGTCCTCGTATGACGACTTCGGTTTATCTCGAGTTTAAATATGCCATAATGGTGGAAATGGTGAAACCGCTTTCGATATTACTGCGTGGTTAGCTTTTTATTATATGGGACATATTTTGCAGATGGGTATGATGTAGGAAATATGCCTAACATCCACAATACATGATTGGATAAGGCTGAAAATGCGAACTTGATTCTTATCTTATTTAAACAACGTGCTTCTTTTAAGTATTTATCGTGTCATTGTATAACTCCTGGACTTTAAGGTAAAGGTTAGCGAATGAGACGAAGATACAATGTTCTATAAACTGGTACCTTTTTTATGTAAGAATCCGCCAATTCGGCTAAAACTGACTGAAACCAATAAAATTATTTTTCCTGCCACAGACTCATTTTTAAATTGGCGAAATAAACACAAGTTTTAAATTTGAAAACATTTTGGCGGTCATTGGCAAATCATGATGTTTGAGGGTTAAATGTACATTTGACATCTTTTAAAATAAAAATCAATAATCAACTCCGCAACAGATTTAGTGAATTTAATGGGTAAAGGTCCTGAAAAGGTTCAGTGTTGAGAAATTTATTAAAATAAGATTTTTCAGTGCAACTGATAATAGCCTATTTGATTATTCTTGAGAATAATTGCAAGCTTATTCTAACATCAATGACGAAATTTGTTATCGCCATTTTTTAGATACGCTGAATGGACCTTTCTAAACTTTCATTTGAAGATTCATTGTATTTGAGGTTTTTAGGATTCTAGACAGATAAAAAACATAAATGTCTGATAATTGGTCGTCTTGTGTTTTGACTATGAAAGTTCATTATCGCAATGTCCTAACAATTAATATTGAGATATCCTTTTCATAATCAGGATGTACGTTTTTTCCTTAATGACAAGCACTGTCCTTTTATATTTCGGTCCCGCCTGTTTAACTCTCAAGTTTGTGACTTACTATCAAATTGGACAGTTAATGTTTATTATCGTGAAAAGTACAGGATAAATCCTGTGGAAGAAGGATCGGTTGTGGAAGGATATCGAGAGGATGGGGATCCTATTCTATGTGAATTTCGATATTTTTGGAGGTACGCCAAAATTCCTTAATAAATACAGTCAAAGCTGATTATAGTGGCCACTCACAGGGGTAGAGAAAAGTGCCCTTTATACACAGGTGGTCTTTGTATAGAGGTTCAATTAATATGAATGGCATTACACAGGAAGCCAAAAAAAAAAAAAAAGAGATGTATAAACAGCTGACCTTTTTATAAAGTTAGACTGAAAGACAGGTTTGACTAGAGTTCCAAATGTTACCTAACCCTCACCCCTGGGTTGGCGTTATAACGCCTGATCCTTTTCGAGTATTTGCAAAAGGATATATATAATGAGAGTTGATCATTCCCAAACAGGCCGACATTTTGGTCCCTTCCAACGGACTCTTGTGTTCATGGTTATTCATTTTGGTGTTTATATGTAGTCTTTTTCCAGATTTTGTCCGTCACTCTGTAAACAATTGTCTTAAACAAGTCCATAATTTCTATAAATCAACACCGTTCCCAGCATCAGGTTACTGTTCACAAATTCGACATTTATGTTTGTGATCGTGTTAGTATTGTGAGTGCTAAAAGAGTTTATAGTAATACCAAGTCGTTAATGAAATATACTTATAATAATCGAATGTTTACTGTGGGATAATTTGGTGTTGTGTGGCAGAGGTGATAGTGAAGAAAAATGTTGAAAGGATTAGGTGTCGAGACTTGAAAAACATACAGAACCACATTTTGTTCGAGTGTGATGTTAGGTTTTGTTGTACCAATCTTTAGTAAGTAAGCGGTATGCGTGTTTTATGTTATGATAGTTCTTCCCTTATGATGGTAGATAAGTGCACCTGATGAGTTGACGAGCCTGTAAAATACCTGTATAACCATGTTACGTGGGTATATTGATCGTGTTGTTTCCGGTAGAAGGATGATGCTGTATCTCCACAGTGGCGCATGTCAAGGGCGTGGTGTAGAGCCGTATTAGTTTGAAGATGTGGCAGTGTTGTATAAAATACCTATGTGGTGTTGCAAGTATTGTGCCGAGATCAGAAAATCAGACGTGGACTATACCTGTGTCCCTTATAGCCCCCTAGGTACGAGTGCGATTCTCCATTCTGTTATCCTTACCTGTGCAATATTGTGCTTGTATCTGTGAAGTGTTGTTGAAATCTAATTCGTGTACAGTTGTGACAAGAGAACATTCCGCTTGGAACCGCCATACTTTTTTCTTATGAAGGTGATCGCGTAATAATCGAAACTTCACACTCTAATCATCTAATAATCTAATTTTTTGTGTTACAAAAACCCGTATTCTACTCACATTACCACCCTAAAGAAAATGTTTCGAAATATAGGAAGATTGATAGTAATCTTCCCTGGTAAAGTCACCTAGGGTATCCTGAGGATTCTACCTGCATGAAATATGAAGATCATTGCGCAGGGTTCTAAAAAATAGAGGGCGAGTCCTACTTTGTCCTGTGTGGCGACCTAGGTATGGGCCAGAGTCTCCAAATATCTGTCCGATATATAATGTTGGTGTGTAAAGCTAAATTTTGTAATAAAATATGATTGTTTTGAAAAAAAAGTATTATATTGTGGACAATACCCTGTCTATCCAGTGAAATAAAATATGATTGGTGAAAGCTTTATGGATTTTACTGCTATATAATTATGCCTAGCCGTGGTATGTTTGTAACAGAAGACAACATTGTTTCCACATTATTACCGCAAAAAAAAAAAAAAAAAAAAATGGCGATATATGTTTCAATATCATGTAAATGTTCGACTTGAATTTGCTAATCCTTATCTTTGTCTTCTTCTATTTCTGCTGATTTTGTGTGATTTATTCTCTGTAATAGATTTCCTGTAATTTGTCTCAGATTGTTTGAATTACTCGGACCCATTTTCTGTTTTAAAGCTTTCTTGATTAGAGCATAGAATTATGTGTTTGTAAGTTTGACATCGATGTCAATGATGTTATATGTATAATTTAGTGCTTCTTAAGTCAGCGGGCGATGGGATATATGCTTGTTCTCTTGTGTACCCTGAACATCTGATAGTTTTAGAGAGCAAATAATAGAATTTAGAGCGACTGATCTTGAGCTGTTTTCGTTGTCTATAGACTGTAGTGTTGAAAGACTACCCGAGATGATGACTACCCGGTGAACCTATAGATATGATTAGAATTACAGGGAAATGGTCCAACATTCTGATTGATACATATGTATATTGATCTAGACAGCAATCATTTTAACTTTATCTTGTAGACATTAAAGTATGTACATATATTTACAAAGTTACATTAGTAAATGAATTTGCAAACGTATTCAACACTGTCAGGGATAACGAGATAACAAGAATGGTATGAGTATAGATACCCCACCCTACTTCAAAATGGTTTTTGCCGTATTTCCTATCATGATATGTGATAGGCCCTAAAATTGATGACGTTGCACAACTGCAGGCATTTCACTACTGTGTTATATGCTGCATCGATTTATGGTTATAAGTGTTTTCATACTGTTTTTGAGTAGTGCATACATAATCAATTACCAAGTACTACAGACAATAAGTACAATAGACAATTTTGAAGCAAGTTATGTCATAAGCACTATAGGGAATCACGTGGATGCATAGCGTGAGGTACAAAACGATATATCGATAAATACTAACTGACTTAGACACAATCGAAGTCAGCTTATGGTAAAAACTTTGAATCTAAAGGCCGTTCATGTCAACATACCTTCATGCCCTGGTGACAAACCTGCTAAGTTTAAAAATGGTAGGAGGTGATCTCCGGGAAAATGACGGTTTACGACGGACGGACGGACAATGCCAAAATACAAAAGTATGTCCCTTTAACATGTTTAAAACACACAGTAAACAAAAAATCAACACCAGCAATCATTTGGCTATCAAATAAAAACCAATGTTAAGGAAATATTTGCTGCTGCTCAAGAATGAAGTGATAGGTCATTATCTGGGACACATTTAAATAAACACCATTTCTTTCGTAGGTCAGAATACGTAACAACACGAAATAGGCTCTGTCACCAGTTATACAAGCTAACTAGTATTTCATAAGTTCTAAGAACGTTGCAATTCACAATTTTACATTTTAACAGAACATTTGCGTTGCCCTTATAAATTGCACCTCTGTTTCTATTTGACTACGTTCTGTTAACGCTGTATGTATTCATTGCGGTACATATAAGTAAAATGTCCATAGTAAAGTTTCCTTCCGTGAACTGATAAGATGAAAAGTTTAAAACATATATGATATATTATTACGTTGATCGACGAGTTGTCCGTCACTGAATATAAAAAGTAATCAACATTATACTTCG